AACATCGAAAATTTTATCAAAACTTCAAATATTGTTTTCTCAAAAACTAAAAGTTATTTTTCAAAACGGGTTGGTTCATTGGAAAGAGGACACTCTTATTAACACTTTGGAAAATTTTCATACTTATATTCCAATAAGTGGATTTTATACGAATTTTTAAAACTTAATCGGCGAAAATTGCAAAATTCGACAAAATTGTTGATTATTTCAAAGAATTGAAAAAAAGTGAAAATGTTCACTGTAGGACATAAACTGCAGTAACTAAGACATTTTGCCTTGTGGGTTTTCCTGATTCTTTGTAATAGGCTGATCTTGTAAAAATTCACATAGAGAGTGTTTCAATTTTCATGACAGGGAGGGGTAATTTTGTAGCCTTTCTTGTTGCCATGGTCTGGTGAGTTGTTCTTGAAGTTTAAGAACAAATTGTTGCCTTGACAATGGTTTCTCTGGTTCTAGTATTAAAACACAGCCTATTGATACACAGTCTATTAATACATAGTCTTAATACACAGCCTATCTAACAACATAGTCCTAGTCATAAAACGTGACGTCACATTGAAACTTGAAAGTGATTTTTCGTTATGTTCTACACTTTTCCGCACTTTCTTTTTTTTTGTAACGTATTTTTTGGGTCATTTCGCATCGATTAAAAAAAACATCGTCGATTTTTAGGCGACTTGATGATTGTTGAATTTTTCTTTAATTTTGTATTGCAGTTATCACCGGTTACGAATCAAAAAATAAATTCTCTATAAGAAACAGTTTAGGGCAAAAAGTATATTATGCTGTTGAAGACAACGATTGTTGCACAAGAAACTGCTGTGGGCCATTACGTCCGTTTGATATGAAAATTTTAGATAATTATGGTCATGAAGTTATCCATCTTCATAGACCTTTAGCATGTGATTCATGTTTATTTCCATGTTGTTTACAGGTAATTATAATTATTTCTTACTTCTACTTAATTGAATTGATTTTAATTTTAAGAGTATGGAAGTTTCATCACCACCAGGAAACGTGGTTGGTTCAGTCGAACAAGAATGGACACTTTGTTGTCCGTCGTTTAAAGTAAACAATTCAAGTGGTGAAACCGTTTTGCGCATAGAAGGTCCTTTTTGCACAATGAGCATTTGTGGCGACGTTGAATTTAAGGTTATGTCTGCTGATGGGGGCACTCAAGTCGGGAAAATCTCCAAACAATGGTCGGGATTAATTCGAGAAGCGTACACGGATTCGGACAACTTTGGAATCACTTTTCCCATGGACTTGGACGTTCGTATGAAAGCTGTAATGCTTGGCGCGTGCTTCCTTATTGATGCTATGTTCTTCGAAAAAAATAGCGAAGGGATGCTTCATTAAAACAAATATTTTTTGACGACACAATAAGCACAAATGTATTGTTTTTAAAACGCCTCTTATTATTTCTTTGTTAAATGTTTTTAAGCGTATATTCTATATACAACGTTTTCTAATATATATATATAATATACAATGACATCATTTTATGGCTAAAGTACATAACAAATATATTTATAATACCAATAAATGCAACATGTTTTACTATACTACATCCCATCATTTCCAACTTGAAATTTATTGAAAGAAATTTTCAATTCAATGCCTGTTTTTATTTGTAAACGAATGGTTGGGCGTTCAAGGTCGTCGTTCTCGTTTTGTTGTTCTCTCTGCAATGAAATCTTCACTCTCACATTGAAACACGTCGCCAGCACACCTAAACCTTTAAATAAACACTTTATTGAGAAGATTGACGAAAAAAAGGATGTCAGAAAATGTCAGTAATCCTCCAAATCAAAGTAAGTAATAAAAAAATTAAAGGCAAAAAAAATAATTTTATTATTTAAAGGTGTTCCAACTCAAGTTTGTCCCCCTTATCCACAATTACCACCAAGTCATCCCCAACCACCTCCAGCGAGCCCTCAAGTTAATATTATTCCACCTCAACCATCTCAAAATATAGGTAATTAAAAAAAATTAGAAAATTTCAATATTATTTTTTTATAATCATATATTAATTGTAGGGTATTCCCCTTATAACCCTCAATATAACAATGCAAACGCTTACCATGGATACCCTCCATCAAATCGAGGGTATTTACCGTCCCCACCAGGTTATACAGGAGCCATAATTACCCAACCAACAGGTATTGGTGTCCCAGAAGGTAAAAAAAGCATTTCATAATGATGAGATCATCAGTATTATAAGTTGCCTAAGTATTTAATTGGTTTTAATTTGAACTTAGGGTCATGGTCAAGGTTTATTAAACAAAAATAATTTGTATTGTTTTTTTTTTGTATTTAAGGTCAATGGATGGAAATTCCACAAAGCATACCGAATTGTCCGCCGGGTTTAGAATATTTGACGGTGGTAGATGAGCTAATGGTGAAGCAAAAAATTGAATTAACTGAAGTGTTGATGGATTTTGAATCGAAAAATAAATTTTCAATAAAAAATAAAAATCGACAAAGAGTATATTTCGCCGCGGAAGATAGCGGATATATGGCCAGAAATTGTTTGGGGTCATATCGACCTTTCCAAATCAAAGTTTTTGATAACCGCTCAAAAGAAGTTATTCACATCAGAAGACCAGCGAGTTGTGACTCTTGTTTATTTCCTTGTTGTTTGCAGGTAACAAAAATTAACCGCCTTAACACACATTTCTTTCATTTCTTTTTAGACGATGGAAATTTATTCGCCACCTGGAAATTTACTGGGGAGAATACAACAAGAATGGAGTTTTATGAACCCCCGTTTTCTGATAGTCGATCCAACGGGAGAAGTTGTTTTAAAAATTAAAGGACCATGTTGCACGGCGACTTTTTGTTGCGGCGAAGTAGAATTTAAAATTTTATCGGCCGACGGAAAAACGAAAATTGGAAAAATCGCCAAGTATTGGTCCGGATTAGTCCAAGAAATTGGAACAGATGCGGAAAATTTCGGGATAAGTTTTCCGTTAAATTTAGACGTTAGGATGAAAGCGGTCTTAATCGGCGCTTGCTTCTTAATTGATATCGTTTATTACGAAGCGGCTAGTACTGGACCTATTAAGTGCTTAACTTGTATTTGTGGCTGTCTTTGTTCACATTGCAAATCTAATACTTAATTTTAAAATTTCTTTTTTAAGTTTTTGTGTATATATTTTAACTACCTCTACGTTTATTTATTTGATTTTTTTATGTTTTTTTACTACTAACATACTTATAACAAATATATATTAAAAGAAAAAAAGTATCTTATTTAGTCGGATCTCTCGATTTGCACAACTGCATTTAGCTCATTTAGTCTTTAGCATTTGGAAGAGCATTCCAAATTTTACCAATTTAGTATTTGTACTGATTTGCATAACGATTACTTTTAGATCCAGAATTTCATCATCAGAAAAGTGAAAATAGCTCCAAAGGATAAACTTGGCCATTAATAATTATATTTGGCAAATTATTTAGGTTTGTGGCATCCTCCTCTCCAGAAAGAAACGACGTTTTCTACCAGTTCGTCGCCATCTTCTATCATTGCCAAAGCCTCGTTTAACGAGAAACCTCTAGAATAATAGAAAAAATAAGATCTACTCGAATGCCACTTCGACGCATGTTCGGACACGTTCAGACATGTCTATGCGTGTACTATATGTAGTACGGTGGGCATACAGTTAGTCACAAAAGTCTACGTACGCCAAATGAATTGAACATTTGATTTCCAAGCGCTATGGTCCATAATATCATCAATAAAAATCAAATTTTGTAGCCCATTAAGCCACAAACCAGCCATGTTTAACGGTTGGGAAATTTCTTGGTTTGCCTTCTGCCAAATTTTTCCTCTACCATCCGATCCGAAAATATTACACTTACTTTCGTCAGTAAATAAAGTTGTTTTCCAAAATACAAAGTCACTTGCAAGATATCTTTTAGCTAATTCAATCCTTTTCTGCCTGTTTTGTTGAGAAATCCAAGGTTTTCTTCGTGGAACTCGTCCATTAAATCTTAACACTCTACGTACAGTTTCTGGATGCACGACTTTATGGGTAGCTTGTTGAATTTCCCCTCTTTGTTTTTTTAGCAAATTAAAATCAGTTTAATTTATCTTATTTGAATCCATGTTGCAAGCTCTTAGATAATATTTAAAATTGGTGATTAATTAGAAAAAATTAAATTACTTCTTATACTTGCTGTTTAAATATTTATTGATACCGGTTTCGAAGTTTTACTTCATCATCAGTCAAAACGTCAAGTCCTAAAAACTGTAGATCGTCATAGAACCACACACGTTGAAAAATTAAACGTTCATCTAACAAAATATCACTACATAAATGTCGAAACAAAATCTTATAGTTAACACATTAAATATTGTCTGATATCTGTCTCTGTATGTATATATCTGTCTCTATGACGATCTACATTTTTTAGGACTTGACGTTTTGACTGATGATGAAGTTAAACTTCGAAACCGGTATTAATAAATATTTAAACAGCAAGTATAAGAAGTAATTTAATTTTTTCTAATTAATCACCAATTTTAAATACAGTTTAATTTAAGCTGGAGCAGATTCATCATCATGTCTAAAACACCAAATAATACTTCTACCATATCCTATTTCATTACAAAACTAATTTTCCTTGTTTTTTAGCAAATTTTGGGTTGAGCAGAATTTTTAATCAGTTTAATTTAAGCTGGAGCAGATTCCTCATCATGTCTAAAACACCAAATAATACTTCTACCATATCCTATTTCATTACAAAACTAATTTTCCTTGCTTTTTAACAAATGTTGGGTTGAGCAGAATTTTTAATCGGTTTAATTTAAGCTGGAGTAGATTATTCATCATGCCTAAAACATCAAATAATACAAAAAATTACTTCTAACATATCCTATTTTATTACAAAACTAATTTTCCTTGCTTTTTAACAAATTTTGGGTTGAGCAGAATTTTTAATCAGTTTAATTTCAGCTGGAGCAGATTCCTCATCATGTCTAAAACACCAAATAATACAAAAAATACTTCTAACATATCCTATTTTATTACAAAACTAATTTTCCTTGTTTTTTAGCAAATTTTGGGTTAAGCAGAATTTTTAATCAGTTTAATTTAAGCTATAGCAGATTCCTCATCATGTCTAAAACACCAAATAATACTTCTACCATATCCTATTTCATTACAAAACTAATTTTCCTTGCTTTTTAACAAATGTTGGGTTGAGCAGAATTTTTAATCAGTTTAATTCAAGCTGGAGCAGATTACTCATCATGCCTAAAACATCAAATAATACAAAAAATTACTTCTAACATATCCTATTTTATTACAAAACTAATTTTCTTTGTTTTTTTAGCAAATTTTGGGTTGAGCAGAATTTTTAATCAGTTTAATTTCAGCAGGAGCAGATTCCTCATCATGTTTAAAACACCAAATAATACAAAAAATACTTCTACCATATCCTATTTCATTACAAAACTAATTTTTCTTGTGTTTTAGCAAATTTTGGGTTGAGCAGAATCTTTAATCAGTTTAATTTAAGCTGTAGCAGATTCCTCATCATGTCTAAAACACCAAATAATACAAAAAATATTTCTACCATATCCTATTTCATTACAAAACTAGTTTTCCTTGCTTTTTAACAAATTTTGGGTTGAGCAGAATTTTTAATTAGTTTAATTCAAGCTGGAACAGATTCCTCATCATGTCTAAAACACCAAATAATACAAGAAATACTTCTAACATATCCTATTTTATTACAAAACTAATTTTCCTTGTTTTTTAGCAAATTTTGGGTTGAGCAGAATTTTTAATCAGTTTAATTTAACCTAGAGCATATTCCTCATCATGCCTAAAACACCAAATAATACAAAAAATACTTCTATCATATCCTATTTTATTACAAAACTAATTTTCTTTGTTTTGTAGCAAATTTTGGGTTGATCAAAATTTTTAATCAGTTTAATTTAAGCTGGAGCAGATTCCTCATCATGCCTAGAACATCAAATAATACAAAAAATACTTCTAACATATCCTATTTTATTACAAAAGTAATTTTCCTTGTTTTCTAGCAAATTTTGGGTTGAGCAGAATTTTTAATCAGTTTAATTTAACCTAGAGCATATTCCTCATCATGCCTAAAACACCAAATAATACAAAAAATACTTCTATCATATCCTATTTAATTACAAAACTAATTTTCTACGTTTTTTTAGCAAATTTTGGGTTGAACAGCATTCTTAATTAGTTTAATTTGCTACCAGTTGAGGAGCACTTGTTGGATATCACTGTTGGACGACCAATGCGTGGTTTATTTAATACACTTCCATTTAAATTTTAGCTATTTCACCATATGATGTTCCCTCATTTCTTAACTTGACTATTAAATGGCGAACTTCAACCGATATTTCTTTTCTTTCCATATTATTTTAAATAATATAATATTCACTACACAATGTCTGTGTAAGCTTTTTTGTATCAAATGCGTAACTGTATCTTGACTTTTGTGAGATTTATCTGTCAGTAATAATAGATAGTGCTCGTCAATAAACACAAGTAGTTTTAAGTGTAATACAAAGATGAATTAATCGTCATATGTGGATTAAGTTAAGGTTATTAAAAAAATGAAATGAAAATATTTTGAATAATATCTATTTTACAATGGTTAAATTTGAATTATTCAAATATAAAAAATATAAAAGTAAAAAATCAGTAGGTATATCAGTTTGTTTTATAGTACAAAAAAAGTAATTTAGTTGGAAGTAATATACATCCTGCGCGAATCTTAAATCGTAACAAGATACAAATATAGTAAATAATTTTTATATTTTAATTAATAAATACAATTTGTCTCGTTTCTTGAACAACATAATAATCCCATTTAAAGACGGTTCCTTAAAATGAGCCAACTTTTTATTTAAGACTATTTTCCAATTAATACTATTTATTGTTTTTAGTGAATGTTTATATAAATGTATATATCATGTAATCCTGAGTCAATTAGTGCGATTATAAACGATTATTTTTTTTGTCGTAATCAGTTCTTGAGTGGGGGTGTGAAAGCCTAATAAAAAAATACTTTTTGTTGTATATCAGAATTTTTATAACAAATCAAGGCATTTTAAATCTTTTTTGTTATTGCATTTGTGCCCTGACACAACAACAAGTGTAAGTTTATACAAAAATACAGAGTATTACCCCCTTAAATAGATAAAAAAATATTAAAGATAACATATTTGGGGATTTATTGGCACTGTAAGACACTTTTCTTCAATCTTTTCGTTTCGTTTTATCTACAGTTTGAGCTTTTGAATACATACTTGTTTAATGTTTTTGTTTTCAAGAAGAAACCCCTTAAGCTATACAAAAAAAAATATCACGTTGTGCAAAGTATAAATCATTAAATCAATTATTTTTACATTAACAGTCCGCAATCTTTCAAATTATTTTTGATAATGACGTCAGTGACAGCGTCAAAAACGAATTGAATGTTATTTGTATCAGTGGCACACGTGAAATGCGTGTAAATTTCCTTTTGGTCTTTGCGTTTATTCAAGTTTTCAAATTTTGTTCGAATATATGCTGAGGCTTCCTCGTAAGTGTTTTGTCCTGTGTATTCTGGGAAACATATTGTTAATGGGCTCCTGGTGATTTTTTCCTCGAACAAATCTTTTTTATTCAGAAAGAGAATTATCGAGGTTGAAACAAACCATTTACTGTTACAAATTGAATCGAATAATTTCATTGATTCAACCATACGATTCATTTCTTCATCTTCTGCCAATACTAAATCATAACCTATTAAACAAATAAAATAATTTTGTTTAATTTAATTTAATTAAATAACTGATTAATATATTTACCTGATAAGGCCACACAAAAGATAATAGCAGTCACACCTTCAAAGCAATGAATCCATTTTTTTCTTTCAGAACGTTGACCACCAACATCAAACATCCTTATTACAAAAAAAAAATTAATTATGATGAGATCATGAGAAGGATTATGATGCAACATTCTTACTTAAAGTGTAATCCTTTAAATGAAAATTGGGTTTCAACAATTCCAGTGGTTTTAACTCTAGTTCTTAAGACATCTTGTTGTGATGGAATGTAGCTTGGTTGAGATATTCTATCCAAAGAATTCAAGTAATAGGCGGCTGAATCATTTAATTGGTACTCCCTGGATCTGGCAAAACAAAGTTGCACTCCTGGGTCTTGCCACAACTTCTTCATCAATATCACCAACTCAGGAGGAAGTTCACCTTCTTCTGCTGTACTTGCATAAGTGAAAAATTGGCGTGCAATATCCTATTAAAAAGATGTTAAAGATATTAAGATCATATTTTTGATAAAAAATAACAACTTACTGCTTTAGTGGGATCAGCAAAATCAATTCTTAATTGCCCCATGGCTCTGATGATGGCCATAAGACTTTGTATGGTGTTGCTGTATACAACAGGTCTGTATTGTTCTCTTTCTTCCTTAGAGTAACCAGTTTCATGGATGATTTTCATTTGCTTAACGATGGTACTTTTTCCAGATTCGCCGGCTCCTATTTTTTAAAAACCGAAATAGAAATCGGGTTATCGTTAACATGACTCACATACCGAGCAAAAGAAGTTTAACTTCGCTGGCGGCCCGCTCCCCATCGGCCCTTAAATCCCTATCGATCTTCTTAGAACGTTCCGTTGCCTCTTTATCACCCGCTGTACTAACAGCGCAACCCATATTGTTCTTGTATTTTCTCTTTAAACGTTATATTTCTAACGACACAATCACACCGGACTCCGCCCGTTTACTCTAAAAACACAGCGTACAAACGTATTGCCAACTTACGTTACAGAGGTACCAACATTGAAGTTTTATATATAATATATACAGCGTGTCCCCGAATTGTGTATAATTAACGATACATTTTTGAATTCAAATTTCATCTTTTGCAATTAAAGTCTGGATGTCATAAAACGAAATATAACCAAGTTTTACGTCAAATGTCCTCAAAGTACCAAAGTTAACGTAATAAGTTTGTTAACCGTTGCAAATAAAGTGGTCTTTAATAATAATAATTATTTATTGGCATAAAAGAATACTACAATGTAAGTAATACATTAAAATAACTAAGTATAGAATTTCCCAAAGAGTATTTCCATCAGTAAGCCAATTTATGGCGTCCTGGTCTTCCTGGAAATACCATACACAAAAAAAAATAAATATATAAAAAAAACAAAATAAAGTAATAAATCAAAATTAAATTCAAACTGAAACAATTAACGTGGCCGATAAGTAAAAACGAAAAAAAATAAAAAATGAATTGGCTGAACAAATAAAAATTAATAAATGTCCCTAACAAACTAAAAAGAAAAAAAAATATTTGTCCACGACTACCTTATAATATATACCTTATGAATGAGTTTTCTAAAACAAAATG